ATGAGTAATGTGGGCACCATAATGGTACCTACATTGAAGATAACATAATATTATGTACTACCTACCTACTAAAGAAATGTTTGATATTGCATGGAGGGTCACAGCATAGAGCTTTATCAAAAAGCTTACAAAAGCATAGTTTTTTGATGGTAATTTTCAAAATAAGTAAATTCCTTGTGCAATTGTTGAAACATTAAAATATTGAGGTAATATAGGACATAGAAAATAGAGAAATAAATACGTTTATTTATAGCAGCCGATAGCTTGTATGCGAGCATTGATAAAAATGATTGACAGAGTGACACTTACTGGGAATGCTCGGATCCTCATTTTGCCAGGTTTGTCCTTAGGTAACGTACTCTTCATCATAGCGGCTACAATATTTTGTACCAACGAAATACTACACAATTAAAGAAGATTTGATCACTGTTCATTTGTTGTCGCGATAACACATCGTTACTCTCATTTACACCTGCAAAGAGAGTTTTAGTAAACAACTAAACACAACGAATAATGCAATTTGCCCTCAACAAATCCGCACTTCACTGAGTCGCGCCATTTACTTTTTACGCTATTAAAACGCTTTGTTATTAATGCGGTAATATATTTACAAAATATAATGCAAATTCAGGAATCTGCTCTAGTAGGTGTCAATTAAAAATAATAAATTCTGAGACTCCAGTCATATTTGTGAATAGTCTTATTGACATTGACAGTTAAAATATCTTTTGTCTCTTTCGCTCTCGTGTAAAAGCTCGTATACAATAGCGCCACCTCACGTTCTGAGGGTGACGTTCTTTTTTGATTTCCTTTTCTCTGCAATGGCTATTATTATTCAGATTCGTTTAAGCACTTTATGCAAGGATGTATAACTTACAAGTAATGAGATTATCCACAGCTAGCTTGGTCACAAGTATTTCACTATCGCAATATTTATAGTACATGTATTTTTCCGCTTTAGCATGCCTATTAGAATCTTCAATTGTTTCAGCTTTCTGACCAGACCATAAACAAATCTGTAATGCTTTATGGTTTTAATTACTTTTTCAGTTTCGAAGTCTGGCATTGATCTTTTTAGTAATGTGTAATCATTATTCTTCGATTGTGATTTACGCAAGATTAATATACAAAATAATTTAAACAATTTTAGAAGGAAAAAAATATATATTTATTTATAAAGATCTTCAACAACTGAGGCTCATTGCTAAATAGTATTTATTCATTTTTCAAAGACTAAATAATTATATTCATATTTAAAGGACGTTGAAAAACTATACTTCTCAAAAGATAGGTAATAAGTTCCTGCAGGTTCATGCTTTAGATTGTAGATATATATATTTATGAAAACTGACGAGAAAATAGTTAGTTTGTTTATTTAACTTGAGGACTTACTTGAAACTGAATAGCAATATTATTTAATATTTTGGGTCTTAATGGTTTTTAGAGAACAATTACTGAAAAATCTTTCAAGTTACAAATACTTACTGCAGTAACAGTACACAGCTGTGAAAGAAGATGGCGCTACTAGTTACAAATGATGAGTTAGTGTGAATAGACTACTAACTTGAGCTTACCGTGCGTACGTGGTTAAAGTTGCGAGCTTTAACATATGCCTAAAGTATTTGCATGTTTGTTTGCCGAATGACGTAATTAATTTAATATAATTTAATTTTTAAACAAGAATGATTTCTACCTAAAACTAAATATTACGATAATGCCTGTTCCACGAATATATTTTCAGGAGTCAGGAATCGGATTATGAGACTCCTATTCGACAATTTCGCTTTTGACATTTTTTTTCTAATGTCGTGCACAAATACTTACCATCTAGATATCACTTAAATACAGCCTTTAATCAGCAAGCGTTCTGGTTATTCCATAGAAATATTATATCCATCTATCTATGGGTTATTCCCTCATTGCCGTGTGTCCCAAGTACCAAACCTAACCTATTGTGACCTATATTATTTCCGTTCCGGTCTATAGATAGACACAATTACGAAGCCTAGATTATCTGTAAATTGCTTGGTTATTCGCAGTGGTCTAGATCTATGTACTAAGTGTCTGAGGACGACAATAGAGATTATTGGTTTGTGGGTGAAACTTAATCTGTACCTATTGGTCCAATATCAAAAGTTTATTGACTGGTTTCTGTTAGATACTATCTCATTAGTCTTTTAGAAATTATTTAATCATTATTAGTACAATATTATAACATAACATAACAAAACATCACGCCTTTTATCCCCGAAGGTATACATTATGCCACTGTACAATGTAACACCCACTTTTCATTATTTATATTATGAGTCCCATTCCCATGTGGGTGGGGTGAGCCTATTGCCATACTTACTAAGTATGGCAATAGGCTCACCAGTTCATAGTTTGCCAGACCCGGGAATCGAACCCGAGACCCCTTGTCCGGCAGTCGCACTTGCGACCACTCAGCCAACGAGGCAGTACAATATTATAGTGATATTATTTTTATATATATTTATTTAAAATTGTCTACAAATTACATTTTTAAATACTACTTATAAAATAAAAAAAATATTTAAAAATATATTAATATTATTATGATATACACATATACTTACATATAGGTAATTATGATCATGCAGTTTCTTACTCGTTCTTCTCCATTCGAATCTACATTTTGAAACGAGCACCTAGCTGACGGACAGACTGACTACTCAGACAGACTCACTATTATTTATTTTGTATTTTTAAAGTACCAAATTATGGTTCAATTGAAATAATTGCTTTGACTTTGATATTGGTTAACTGGTTTTCTCGGAATTGTATTTGTTGTATATTTTCCAACTATTGCTTCTTTGGTCGAGTGGTAAAGTGTGAATGTCGACCAAGGGTTCCTAGGTCAGATTCCCGGATCAAGCAAAAATAATTTTCGGGTTTACAAAAATGTCTGAAAAGGCACTGGAGTCTGTACTTGTACCTAGTATGTGATAATAGGGCACAGGCATCACACACACCCTATTGCATGGGATTCATAACTTAACTTTTACTACCTACCCTACACCTCTGCCTACTCCTTCAGGGATCAAGTGTTGTCGTTATGTTTATACATGGAAAATATTAAGTAAGTACGTATACCTAAATGTGATACCTAAATAGGGTAAACGTAAAACACTTAAGAGATAATAATTATTAAAAGTGAGTACCTACATGATGTCCACAGATAATAGCAGTTCCACAAAAAGGAAAAAGGATACCTAGGCTGATTTGTAAAGTAGGTACACTTTGGTACTTTTCGGTAATAGGGCTGTGGCTGTGAGAGAATTGAGGGCTGGATCGTAAACTAAATAGCTACCTATTTATTTTACGAATTAGTAACTTATTTATTTAAGGAATACCTATGTAGTATGTGTACCTACTTAAATACGATAAGTAAGTTTCAGTGTTTATTTTGCGAATTCCTTGTAAATATGTGTTCACAATTTGATACGCGTGATGGCATCTAAGGTTTTCAGAATAAATTATAAATCGTTTAATTGTAGGAAGGCATTCAGTCATGTACTTTTTCGTGGAAATACTTCTTTCAGGCCTCAGGGCAAACATAAACAGGTTGGTACTTAATTAAAACTTCAAAATAACTATTAATTTATTTTCATACTCAACCTACTATTTATGAAACTTTTTTTTATATAAATAAGTACTTATAATTTAATAATTTGCTATGTATTAAATTTTGGCAATAAATAAGTAATTTAGTAAGCAAAATGTATTATTGGCTACGAAGGACGTGTCTAATAATTTTCATCTTTGGATTTTCCCAATTAAGTAGTAACACTTGTACGAAGCAACAAACACATATATAAACACTTTAATTTGTAAAATTTTGAAAAGGGGGGAATACTGTAGGGTTTGTATCTACTTATACATCCGATGCGCTATACAATGTCGAATAGGTATGTGAATATGTGATTATATTATGTGTAATAAATTAATGTGCCAGTCGGCTTCCAACATTCAGTCGTTTCGCTTGTCTCCACAATAGTATCCCAGTCACTACAGATGTATATGGAACAAAAATATATATCGATGTATATCTGCGGTTGGAAAAAAAAATTCTATGATGCTTTAAAAGAGGTTGTTTTAAAAAGGTTGTGTTAAACCGTGCACATTGTTTTAGCCAGGAGTCAATATTGGTGGGTATGTAAAACCATCTTATTGTCTAATGATTTATATCATGTTAGGTATAAGTCATACCAAGATAGTTATGATCATTCTTAAAAAGAAGTACATTTGTTACACTGTCTTTTTAAAAAAATATAGTAAATTTGATTTGCCAATCAAATAATAAGTATATTGTACAAGTATAATGTTACGTTATTTAATCAAGACACGTATTTTTAGTTATTTTAATATCAACTTAATATAGCAAATATTAGGTATACAAATTGATATGGACTTATAAACACGTATTTGTATTTATTTGGAGTCAAAGAACTTCATCAAAGTGTCTATTTAAATAAGTAAAATGTTGAAGAGAATACATACAAGATGAAAATAAGGTAAAATGAAAATAACACATTGGTAAGAACACTATCTTTACACTATCTTCGTTTTGTATTAGAAAAACAGTAATTTAGGGAAAATTACTGTGTTTTAAATGTATAGAGGCGGAATTTATAGAAATAATGTAAAATGATGTAAATTAAAGAAGCTAAACCAATGATGGGTAAGAGATATTTTTGGATTCTGGGATCATAATACAATAATCTTTGTACACACACTCAATTTAAATATTTATTTCGCTACCTCTGGTATCTATTATATCTAAAGGAAACAACATTCACCTAAAATTAAACTAATAATCTAGTATCATAACGTCACAACTAACTATAGCCTCACCAGAAAAATAAAAACCATAGATGGCGCAACAATCGTTTTAAAGTCTCAGTTAATCCGCAACATGACGCGGTTTTTTACATTTCTGGATGGGTTTTTATGAAAATAAGGTATAGCTAGAGGAGGTTTTAGTCGTTGTATGCAGGGTGTGCGTGTAGTACCCATCTAAACAATAATAAACTGATGCACGCTATTACAAAAAATGACACCAACACGCGAAGGTTCTTCTCAGATCTCTGATCTCTTTCACTGGCCAGTAACCGCTCCACTAGACCGTTCTGAAAACAAACACAAACCATTTTATTGCCTTCATTATAAATGAAATAGAAGTATTTATTATGTATGTAGTGAGTTTACTCAGCTATTTTTAGGCAATTCAAAAATAACTTTTTAGCTATAAAAAGTAAGAAAATGTTACTTTAAAGATCAACGCGTAAGGGTTCTATCAAATACCAAGAATACTTTTAATGTGTAGGTGCGGAAACTCAAAAATACGTAGAAAAGGATCCAATAAAGAAATTGTTGATATAAAACTTGAACTTATTATAACTTTGTTAATTCATCATTTTGTTGAGACTTTTTCGTAGTAATTACTTAATATGAGCTTAAACTTAGTATGAGGTCTGGTACCTACGATTGACAGACTAGTTTCAGTACATAGTTAGTAGGTAGTGAACTTGAAGGTTACTTCAGTTGAAGTTGTCGAAGTTATTTGTGGGAAAGGAAAAGTTGTGTAAAACTTAGGTAGTAGCTTAACGAAAACACAGCGTTTTACAACATTACATAGTAACCTAGGCTTTAAATTAATCAACACATTAGTATAGGTACGCTAGATAACTATAAAATAACTAGCTTTTACCCGCGGCTTCGCTCGTGTCACAAAAGGATAAAAAGTAGCCTATGTGACATATACCGATACATACAGCGCCATCTATACCAATACTTTTGTTTTCCCTCGGGAATATCAAATTTTTTCGGGATAATAAGTACTATTATTTAATCCAGACTACTAACTTTACGTCTGCAAAAATTCAATGCAATCGGTTTAGTAGTTACGGTGTGAAGTCGGAACAAACAAACAAACAAACAAACTCACTTTCCGATTTATAATATTAGTAAGGATAGACTTATACCCATCCACCGTGAGACGCAATCCAGGAGCCAGGTTCCTCGTGAAGAAGGTCAGCAATGGCAGCTGCAGGAGCTGACACCAGCTCAAGAGCTGGTTCTCCATCCGCAGCTTCAGCAGCTTCCCTCGCCAGTGCCCCACAAATACAATAAACAGCTGCTATCTGAAATTATGCCGCATCAATTTAGGCTCATGAATTTTGCGAAACGAATTTAGTGTTGACCCAATTTATTCTTGCTTACGAAGCAGTTGGTAGCGACTTGCTTTTATTGTGACATATACGTGCTTTGTTTTCTATTGTCTCCTTCTTTTCAATTTTGCATCTAACAGTAGTTGATTTGACTTTATTATAGGTTAGCCTACATAAAAATGGATTACGTGGATCCTATGTAAGTAACTATATTGGTTGTATCCAGGCAAATTAGTGATACCCGATGGAGACAAAAACTATTTTGTTTCAAAAGTCCAAGTCTCATTGTCTGTCGGAATAAAAAACGTTAGTTAAAACTTCTTCAAAAACAAATAGTTTAATTAACAGCATCTAGGAGATAGAAGATAGATATAAAAAATACAAGCTTTACTGTTGGAAACTATTTGCTTCTAATTAATAGGTACCTAATGTCCTTTGATTTGAAATTCTATTTGCCGATTTGTAACACTGCGCAATTAGCAATGACGGAAAGAATTGGAGTCTATTCCTAGGCGAGGCCATTCGAGTTACACCTTACGGTTCTCTGAGTCTCTGGTATACATCTCATTTTATGTCAGTGTTTGTTTAGCAAAATTTCAATAATAGCGTACACCAGGAGTAATTATTTCTTGACTGGAATGCCCCGTTTAATTTCGTATTCCCGTCTACTGCGAATTAAAATCGTAGAAATGTAGCTAAATCTCTTTTAAAACGTTCCGGTTGTTGTAACAGTAGCCTGTCTTTTCGATTTTCTTTCGAAGATATAACAAGGACTGTACTGATGTGAAGGTTTCTTTTTATTAATCTGGAGGCTTTCCAAGACTTATTATTTTTTTATTTGGATGGTAGACAGTTTTTATTCAAAACGGTAAGATGTATTTCGAATACCCCTTAATTTATATACGTAGATGCACCATTCTAAACTTTAAGTTGCCTTATGCCCTTAATAAGAGTTTCATTACAAAATATCAAGGAACATTAAAAAGCCTTTTTGTCATATTTCTCAAATTGAAACTTTCATCAAATAACTTCCAGATTCGATACTTTTAGCGCCGAAACTAGTCACTAAAATCGTTAATGGAATCAGTCAATGAAAGCAGCACAAATATACCAAAGTAAGGATGTACTCGATTTTAAAGTCCACTCCAGACACTTAATACCAGTAGCCAAGATCAGTTTGATGATGATTTTATTGGTTTTAGCGTTAAATTGCTTTAAGTCTAGAATTCTGCCGAGGTTCTTGCAAACTAATTTGGAGGAAGCTTTTACCTGCCGCTGTCGCTAGTATTGGCTGACCTGATTAAACTATGTTCATTGAACGAGACTGTTTTCGTGGAACTACACAAGTTTCTCTTCACGTGAACTTATAAAATCGCCGTAGGTCTCAATATCTGTCTCCTAAAACTTTATTAATATAATATACAAAGCGAATGACGCAGGACCTTGAGGGACAAAAGCGTTAAATTGCCAATAGTTAGTTATATTTTCAAAGGTATGGCTAAGACTTGTGGTAATTATATTAGGTCCTTTTGACTATACAATGTATAAAATTGATGAATTGATTCATCGATTGGATCTTTGAATGGTTAGCCACATTTAACATCGCGTCTTACTTGAACAATGGCCTTTTATTTTATGTCGTATTTATTGAGGAAGACTATTTTACGACTCTACAAGAAATATTACACATTCCTACAACGCCACGGACGAGGCTGGGGGGAAACTTATTGCTTTGCTTTACCTTAGACCATGTAATATTTTCCCTAGTGATGCGTCTCGCTAGTGCAAGGGCGAGTTCCGCTAATGCTGTATCTGAGCGCAGCATGGCGGAAGGGGCGCGAGTGGCCTGCCTCGCCACTTGTCGGAATGCGTCAGGTCGCTTCCTCTCCAGAGCAGCACACAACGCGCGGAGCCCCACTAACACTCCAGACTCCGAGTTACTGACAGCCTCCTCTCCGCATTCAGTCTAGCATTCGTTGTAACCGTTTCATTACTATTTGCTGCAAAAACGTTACATCATAAGGAATTAAAAGTATTGGATTTATTTATCTATGTAATCGTTGGAAGTCGTTAAGATTACCTTTTTTTCGCATAAAGTGGATCTTCTAATCTGAGTCTTAATGTATTGTAGGCATAAAGCGCGTCCTTGTCGGACTATTTGTGGTTTGACTTGCGTGGGGCTGGCCAGACACCAGCCGATAGTTGCCGAGAGCCGCCGGGACACTGCTGCGGCGGTGCTGCTTGAGACCATAGTGCTGAAACGTCGCTTCGTGCGATCCAACGGCGATAAAGATCGCGATGGAGAAGCGCGTAGATCTGGAGATACCACAAACCAATTTGTCTAAGAATAATCTTAAATTTTCTTAATCTAGCTACATCATTATTGTTAGCTTAGTATTTACTGGTTCGCCGAAGATTTTAATTAAAGTTGCGATTACTTTCGACGCAAATTATTTCAAATTATCCCAGATAGTTGAAGCCACTGGGTATGTAACCTCAACTTATTACGCGGTTACTAATTAAACAATCTTGTGTGTGAGAACAAAGAAAACAAAAAAAAAATTAAGAAATTAAAAATATTTTAATGACCCCGAAGTCTAAAGGACTGGGGGTCTTTATATACGTTATCCAAATGTTGAAAAGTTGGGTGTTAAAGATGGTGTTAATCATTGTCTGTGGTTTGTTGAAGATCTGAGACTACGTACTTCAGAATGCCTTATTGCTTCACTGGTTCGATCTTAGCATAAGACATCTATAAGTTGTTTTTGAATTTGTGCTTCTATAGAATTAATGGACACTTGTGGTTTTTGCAGATCTTATCAATTTACCGTGTTTGAATAGATCTTGTCTATTCGGTATAATCTTGTCTATATATATATTAGTTATAACAATGTTATGAAATCAAGCAGGTATAATAATAATAATATAGGTCAGTATTAAAGTGTCTACACAGCTTTAGGCTCTGTGTTAAAATAAAGAGAATAAGTAATGAGGTATGATATCGTAATTACTTGTAGGTACTTCTGGGAATACCTACTTCATTATTGTCTAATTAATAAATTAGGGTTTTGTTACAAGGGCTTATTTAGGCTTTGATAGGAACTGTAATAACACAGAGACCTGTATTAATTTTAAAAATTCGTAAATCATTAATGTATTAACTCGTCGAGTACCGGTTTTATAGACACAATTAAAGAACAATAGGTCGCGGTCACCGGTGACCGCTCGGTGTTTGACAGATTAAGTAATAATTTCGTGTTCCACTGTTCGATATTTTTTATATTCATTAAAATCTTAAATCTGGTATGATATACAATATTATTGTGGCATTCTGCAAGTTTTTAAACTTCTTAACCTTCAGTATTGTCACAGGATAACAAATATCTAACTTTGAAATTTGAATAACCCTTTGGGGAATTACAGTTGCTTACAATAAGACTTGAATTCTTAAGTGTCGGTTTCTAAAACAGATCTCCAACCGAAAATCTGTAATTTTTTGATATAAGGTAATTCTATATAAAAAAAATCGATTCAGAGATTTTCGATTTAAATGGATTATATTATTGATGTTAACAGTAGGTTATCTTACTTGGTAAGTTAATCAGTCCATCAGTTACTCCGGGCATCGCACTGAGCGGCGTGCTCAGTTTCCGGCGCATACGCAGCGTCGGCACAAACTCGTCATCTTCTTCGCCATCTGGTGGAGTGACTTGTATGGCGATGTTGCTCGCCTCTGGTATTCTTAACCCTCGCGGTACCCATCTTGGATCTGTTAGTGGCCCTATCTGAAAAAGTAAAACAGTACTATTAACTATAGTTAAAATGACTCCTAGATACGTAAGGTTACCCTTTGCGTTGGTAGGTTCAGTCACATTTAGTATATGAATGAAAGAAAGAAGAAAAAAGTTTATTACGGCACGCAAAAGGCCGGAGTTCAGTTCAGCTTAATACTGTGGCCCACGCACGAAGGCTGATTTTCTGCACCAGCCAGTATGTTACCAGAGAAAGTTAAGAAGTTAAAAGAATCTTTCCTTTAACTTTTTAAATGAGCAATATGAGCACACTTAGTAATTATTATTTAGTATGTTCATTTTATACTCAGAGTTTCCATTTATTTTGTATCGTATCTATAGAGTAAAGTGTTTGCTCCAATACATTGGTTTTCCCTAACTTGTTTTAGCAGATTTTATTGCTGTCTACCTTTTAAGAAAAATATTTATAAGCACGTTCGCATTGAAAACTGATAATAAACAGTTTAATGTTTGTATTTATAGAAGTTTATAGTGAGAAAACTATAAAAGATTTACTCCCCATTGAAAGATTAATGGATAACAGCGTAACAAAGAGCAGACGATAGTTACGATAAATCATACTTTAAGATATTTCAATTTACTTTTTACAGCAGTAAAACACTTTTACAAGGTATCGATGTTGTTGGAAAGAGCTCAGAATGCAAAGCCAAGGAAATGCGCTGTCAAAGCGAAAGAAATCCCCCAAGGTTGTACACGATAGTACAATATTATAAATAGTGTTGTACGTATAGTCACAACAATAATTGATTGGTTGGTTATATCGAAGTGCGATATCGATATCGAAGGCTACAAACGCCTGACTTTTCCCACGGGACCCTACATTTTACATATTTATAGTCTTCGCTATTTAATTACGGACTTTTCAATCAATTTCGTCTGTTTATTTTTAACTTTACTAAACACTAATAGAAATTAGTGTCTGCCTCGTTGGCCGAGTGGTCGCAAGTGCGACTGCCAGGGAAGGGGGTCTCGGGTTCGTTTCCAGGGTCGGGCAAACTGGGTTTTAAAAAAAGTCTCAGTAGTAGCACGGAGTCTGGAATTGTGCCCGATATATGGCAATAGGCTAACCCCTATTACTTGGGACTCATAACATTAATGCCACTGTACAATTACAGTGGCATTAAGTGCCGTAATGTGCACCTCTGCCTACCCCTTCGGGGATAAAAGGCGTGGTGTTATGTATGTTATGTAGGTACTAATAGAAATTTCGGTGCGTTTTTTGTCTGGCCCAAAAACTCTAGGCAGGATAAAGATAAAGATAGTTTAATTGCAAACATGGGTACAATATGTGGTGTTTAGGTACATTGCGAGCTCAACCATATTTTACCAGGAGGCATGCAAATATGAATTAACAAATTATTAAAAAATAAATATAATAAATAAATAATATATACAGGCTTTCGAAATAGATGTAAAATAAACATAACGTGTATAATTACTAAGGTTATATGGTTGACCAAAATAATAAACGGTTTTGCGACAACAACTTGAAATATTTTATTTGATACGTGACTTAAATATATCATTTGTTAGATGTTGCTAATGAACGTACAATTACTTCGTGAATGTTTGTATAAAACTCTATAGCTGTGTGCTTGTTATGCATAAATAACTCAAAATGGCGCCAGATGAACTTTATGTGCCTTTGAAATGACTCGTAAAAATACATTCGTAATATCTATGTGTGAATAATTTACGAACCTACAACATAAGTGTGAGAAGAACTTGTTAAAAAAATAAGATGTGCTCATGTGAGAGTTGTAACTGGCGTCCTAAAGTAATGCAAGCTACACACCTTTCGTATGGACTGTGTAGTTTTAACTACAGTCGAACTGTAGTTAAATCGTAGGTCCATACAGCATACACACCATACGGTTTAACTGTACAGTTCGACTGTACAGTTAAACTGCACATTTAAATCGTAAGGTGTGTAGCCTGCATTAGAGAGTCTATTTTTAATCACGGCTTTAATAAACAAGATACCCATTAAATAGACAGATAATGTAAAAGTGATAATTAATAAACTTTATAGTTAATGTTAATATATAATTACAACTGGGATTAAAAAAACCACACATTGTATCAATATTACATCGCAACTGAGAAGGAAGAAAAAACAAAAATGTTTATGTTATGTAAATATTCATTAAGTATACATTATTATTGTGTTATCAATCCTTTAAGGGTAGGCAGAGATGAATATTTGGAAGCCCATTTTCAGCAATTATGATTTTAGGTCTATGTCACGATCTCCAGAATCTATAAAACATCTACAGTCGTCTCTAATTATTAATATAGACAGCTATTAAACTGCTATTAATGTTTCAAAATTTCGGTCGGAGCGAATTTTATCTTATACTGGCTGACCTAGCAGACTTCGGACTGCCTCAATGGATTTTTTAAATTCATATTAGATATTCTTATAATATTAACTCATCATATGTATGTATACACATGTTTATGCAAATAAACGATTTGATCATTTAAATTTTAAATCTTACCTGAACTTCCACAAATAAATTCAAAACCAAAATTAGCAAAATCCGTAGGCACAGCCGTATCTAAGTTTTAGAAAAACTAACAAGCTGCAATTAATTCTTATATACTTATATTAATCTTAAATACTTATTCAAGGTACTTTGTAGTTATAATTACGGAAATAAACGGTGAGTTTAGAAAGAATTTCATTGTCATATGAAAAAAAATTGAAACCAAATCTAAATCTTCTTCTTTTACATAACGATTTAAATAAAGCTTAAAACAGGTAAAGGATTTTGTTTCTTATTTTTTTACCGTTTTTCATTGAATGCTAAGACAACATAATTTTCTTTCTTCCTTTGATATTCGCGGGAAGGGTAATTGGTTTCTGCTGACCTAAACCAAATGCGTAATGGTTTTGTTAATCCTGGTTTAAAACGAGCTTAGGTAGGTATATAGTTTGTTTAATCGTTTACAGTTACTAAGTGCCTTTTTTATTTGTTTTTGTATGATGGGCACGTGATACAAAGGCTTAGGTGCCTACCAACTTTATTCCCAAAGTATGGCCAATTTAGAAATCGGTATAGTCAAGGTTGAGCGCATTGAATTCTTCAGACCTTAGTCTCGCATCGCTATTAGTTTTTATATGTAGTCCACCTATATAGGTGAGGTAAACTTATATAAGTTTCATATGTATTTGTGTATTTTTGTGTGTACCTACCTGTATACCTGTATACCTACCTGTATTTTTTTTTAAGGGGGGAAAATCATCGAATGACTGCTCCCGCCTGGGTGAGGCGGAAGGGAGTGTCAGACTCTTACTGACTAAAAACCACCCCGTTCCTTCTCCTGCACGTCGAACCGGAGCCCCGGTTACCCGTTAGGTTCTCCGCGACTACCTACCTGTATTTTTTTTTTTTTTTAAATAATTTATTCAGTGAACTTATTACAAATTGTGTCCTTAAAAACTAAACTCGCCAAACTGTAACGTTTGATGGCGAGAGGCGCTCTTTGTACAGTTTAATACAAAACAGTGAATTTAGTAATTCTTACATAGTTTTTTCTTTAGCATTTAAATATCCCATCACATATAATATCCCTTATTACTTACTTCGACATAGTTTATATACCTAATATAAAACAATCTTTATGAAAATAATAATAAAAAAACAAACAAATCTTTATGAAGCTAAAAAAAAACAAACAAGACATAACAATGTTATTTCTTATTAATACTCTAACATAAATCTTTTTAATTTTAACTTTAGAGATCCTTTCGTAAACTTTTTTCCTTCTCTCTCAGTAAATCTATTCTTAAATACATTAGGAACTAAGTATTCAGATGTTCTTTTGCCATAATAGTTTTTTATTTCTGGTAATATTAGTTTATTCTCTCTAACCCTACGTGTGTTGTACTTGTTCTTTACATTAATTTTAAACTCGTCACTATAATAATATTGCAAACCAACTAAATAATCTACTTTTTTATCTATGGGTATTATTTTACAAATAGGAAATAACTTATCATACTCTTTCTTGCAACTATCTTTAACATTTTTACTTACTAGGAACTTTATCAGTCTTATTTGTATGTCTTTAATATCTTTTATATATGATATGAATGTTCGACCATACACAAGTAGTCCATAACTTATTAGCGAGTCTGCAAGTGCAAAGTAAACTAATCTGAGAGTCTTTTTGTTCAGTACATTTTTTATTTGATACAACTTACTTAATACAGATCTTAGTCTATTACAAATGTCGTTAACATGCAATTTCCAGTTGAAATTTGTATCTATTGTTAGGCCTAGGTATTTGAATTTGTGTACATAGTCTAATTTATTACAACTGCAGCTTATGTTTACTGTTACTGCAACTTATGTTTATTTCTATGTAGACATTCATATGTGTGTCCTATTACTGTGATATGTTCCTTATCTACTGATTTAGCAATATGATTGTACGGGGAGTGTATATGCATAACTTTTGTTTTTGTTGTGTTAATTATTATTATTATTATAGGTACTTAATTTAAAATACATAATTGTGACCATTTTATATTCAGCTTTTATAATACAGTGAATTATTTCGTATAATATTTTGATTAAAATCTTAGTGAGATGCAATAAAAACTCAGTTGGATACAGTAAACAGTCACTGGCACACGTTCAAGTTGTTGATTTATTTATTTTTTAAATGTCTCGTGTTTCCTGACAGTGCATACATTAGCATGTTAATCAGAATGTCTTGGAGAAGTTTTGCAATTTTATTTAAATGTTCATTCACTAGTAAAGAACGTATTTTCTGTAATGGGGTAGATGCCTAATTTTTATTTCAATGTCCGTCTGGTAAATTATTTAAATCGTTAGACACGTATTTTTTATTTTCTTACAGAAACGAATACTTTCGACGATATATTGATTTGAAATGTCGCGTGACGTCACGTACAAATGACGTTTTAGCGCCCACTCCTAAACTTTGATTCGTTTTATCTA